AAAAATACTAGAACTAAAAAATAAATATATATATTGGCTTTTGTTTTTTATTATCTACAGAAAAAAAGAAACAGTTTGAAATGAAGAGGAAAATGCACTACAATGAAGGACGAAACATCAAACTTGCAAGACAGCTAATTGCAAAAGAGCTACATGGTGAGGATGAAGAGGAGGAGGAAGAAGATGAAGAGATGCGTGATGCTCCAGATGTAGAAACAATGAACACAGAAGCTATCGAACATGGTGAGGTGCTGATTGATCAGATGCCACGTGTAGGTGTTGGTTGTCCTTCCATCTGTTGGGATGGATACATCCAAGTGTGAGAATAAGCAGGAGGAGTGAAGTATGTGTGTAATGCTTGGTGTGCAGTGCTGCCTGCTATCCTGACAGGCAGATTTGTAGTGTGATACCAAAACAATCAGTATTGTTAATTAGTCTGGGCTTCTGTTTGTTATAGCACAACAGAAAAACAGACACCTCTGCTTCAGGCCAGTACTGTCTCCACAGCATAATTGACTCTTGGCAGTGAAGTTGTCAGCATCCTTTTTAAAGAGGCAGCTGTCCTCTACAGGATGCTTAAAAGCTGTGGCCACATGAGAGGGCCTGTCCTTGTGTCACGGTGCACTTCTCTCTCCCCTCCCAACCCATGCTGTAATCAGCACTGGGAAACTAGCTTGAATGCTTCCTCCCTGTTGAGAGCAGTGTATCTAATGAGCTTTTACCTGTCTTGCTATAACTTAAAACTGTTTAAAAGTTCAGTGTGCTTTTGTCCTTAAACAGTAATATTAATTTCTATGTGGGATGTGAACCTTTTAGCACAGCTGCTGGAAGAAAGTCTGGGACCCTTGGTTGGGAGCTGTTTCTGGAGCCTTCTCTGCCATCTTTTAAGCTTTTCTTAAGCTTTTCTCTGGGACTATATAACAGAAGTTTGATTTTTGTGGTGGCCTTCTGGTGAATAACTACATCTGTTGAGTACCCACATCTGTTTGGAACAGCATATTGAACAACTTTCTGGGCATTAAAAAAACCAGACATCTCTTGTTTATGAGACTAGTGGTGATGAATCTGAAATCTGTAAACCTCATTCATCTGTTGCTTGGCAAGGCTTTGAGACGTTAGAACAGCATGCAGACTTGGGAAGATGCTGCATGGGTTTAGCTTTGCTCACATTTGCTTTTCATAACCTTGTGAACTAGAAATTCTTCCAAAATAAGCTTAAATTTCACCAAATAGAAAGGTGATTTGCCAGGTTGACTTCTTATATGTTAAGCTCTGTGGGTTGCACAGTTTGCTCCCGCTATATCTGACAGGAAGGCTCATGCCTTCATAATGGCTTTGAGAGGGTCTTTTGGTACGTGAGTCTGAGACCCATTCATGGACCAAACTTCTCTGGTAATTTATCATATGCCTTATAATGGCTATTTACTAGAACTTCACTCTCCAGGGGAAAGGAGTACTCCAGTAGGCAACATTATGACCTTTCTCCGTGGCTTGAAGCTGCCATCTGTCTGCACTGTGCTGTAAAACAGAGGCAACTCCGCTCTCCAGCTGCATTCTCCAGGGAACAGAAGGCACACCTTTGCAGTATTTTTCCATCTCTATTGTTGAAGTCCATTCCACCTTGGCTCATAAGCAGCTTCTGAGCCACAACTGGTAACTATCAATTTTAGGCTACTCGTGGCCAATAGACTCATTAAGTATGACTGCACACCAGTTTATCAATCCGTTCACTCACTGGTTCACCTCAGTAACGTGGCATATAGAAATACTCTAATTTGATGTGGTTCCCAATTCTTCACTTCTGTTGTGATACTCTGCTTAACAGGCCCTGGTGTTTTGTTATCTCCTAATCTCTACATCAGCTATCGTAACTTCTGGTCTCTGTATTTGATCAGGTCTTCACAGGTCGAGTACTGGGCTCACTTTTGTAATGGCTGGTAAACTGTATGCCCTCAAACTGATTACACACAATTTTTCTTTGGCAAGGTTGCTCTAAGGACAGTGGAATCTGGTAAAAACTGTTGATAAGCAACTGTTTTCTGCCACTGCCCATGCTTTAAGAAATTCCTACATTGAGCTGATAAGTGTTCAGCAACATAATTGTTAAATAATGGCAAAATTTTACTGGAATCACTTTTTCCGAGATGGTAACTTTTGATTATTCTCTGACTTTTATTTGAGGTGTGCTACAGAATCTGAAGTATCTCTCAAAATTTAGTTACTGTTTGTCTATTTATTTATTTTGGCTATGGAGCATTTCTCAAATAGCAAGTTTTAAAACTAGCTACTTGGATTCACTGCTAACCTGTACTGCTGGTCATGAACTGTTGCAGGTCCGTTGCTTCCTTCATGGAAGTGGATCAAATGCCGGTAATGTTCTTGTTCCTGAAGTTCCCTTCCTAGGACTGTAAGCGTGTCAGGATGTTTTTGGATCTTTCTGAAGCTACATGGGAAGTTTTTAATTGATTTGGATGGCTTTTAAAGAGCTCTTTGACTGAAAATTGTGTCTTAAAATGCTTTCTTACAGAGCAGAAGAGAGTTTCCTTCACTCAGTGTGTTGGGTGTTGCAGGCATTGACTCTTGTGACGGCTTGTTTTGGCTTCTTTCTGTTAAACTAACAGCTCTCACGTTCTTTTTAACTGCAGAGGAAACATCTGTTTTATGCTGCATGTTGTAGGTACAGTTTAATAATTTTTTTTCCCATTGACTTCTGAATTTGCAGAGATAATCTGGTGATGTTGCTGCCACTTGTTAGAGCTGGCATGCAATGTCTGTTTATTCCAGTAGAATAGCGTGGCTTCCCTTGTTCCAAAGATAACTCCAGCGATGTGACACAAGGCGTTTCTTGGTAACTGCTGTGACTGTAGGGCTCTGCTGGCTCCTGAGAAGTTTTGGGGGCAGTTTGGGACCCCCTTGTCACTTGGAAGGTTTTAATCAATGAAGATCCCTTTACGGTTCTTTGCATCTCTTATCCAATGCTCCTGACTGCCCTCTACCTCTTACCGTTTTCGGTTTCCAGTAGAACTAACAGTACTGTCCTGGTGACTGCAAATTTTCCTTTTTGTTATATCTATGCTGAGGAAGGGGCTACAGACTTGAGATGGGATGTTAAGAAGTTTTCTGTCAGGTACCACAGAATCTGCTAATTTAAGTTGCGCTTCTTAATTACAGACTGAGATTTCTTGCTGATTGAAATGAAGATGGCCAGTCCAGTCAGTAATGGTGAGAACTGCTTGTACATTTATGCTGCTGTTTTCATCTCAGGCTACCAAGTATTTTAAACAGATGGGTCGTTCCTTTCTTGCCTTAAGTAGCTGTACCTTGTCTCGTACGTGTGGATTCTGCCAGCCAAGCTTTTTGGGGAGCAGGAAGGTTAAAGTAGACCGTTAATGCTTGCTTCAGCATTTCAGCTGCGGTGGCATTTCTCTGGCTACTCTTATTTATGACTCCACGAACAATGTGATGGACTTTGCCAGCAAAATAGTGGCATTTGTTCCTCTCCAGAAATACCTTTCCTTTAAAAATTCTGTTTGAAATCACTGAAGGGAAAGGTTCCACGTGTAGATTGAGCATAAGGATTTCAGTGCAGACATGTTTTCTACTACACAACAGTATCTCTCTTCAGGAAGTACAAGGGTGTGATCTGTAGTAGATCCACTGACAAGCAGTGCAGCTGTTCTCTGCTTGTGGTTCATTTAGCATTCATTGCTGTGGTAACTTAGATATTGCTGACCCACTTAGCTGTCATCTGACTGGTGTGTTCTGCTGGACTTTGACAGAACGTTGTGTTTTCTTAACTATAGTGAGCATCACCATAAAAATGACTTATGTCAGAAGACTGGGAACATATGCAAATTGTTTCTGCTTGTCAGACATGCTATTTGCTTGTTAAATTGCACTTAGAACCAAGTCTCATTCTATGCATAAGCCTAACTGGCTTTCTTTAAGAAGGACCAGACATGGCTTTCTCTGATCTGTGTATTATGCAGCAAATTTATTTATAAACAATAGCTGAAGTCAGTAGGATTTTTCATTTTAAAGTTGGTAAGGAATTTTTTCTCTGACTTACTAATGTTCTTTGTTTCAAAACTGTGAGTGGAAGGGTGAATCAGACTGTGCTACCTCATTTATTAGCTCGTTTTGTTTTGAAGTGTCTCATCTGGAAATGAAACTTGACCTGAAAGGTGCTGTGCTTACTGGTGTTTCAGGAGCTTTGTATGTTAGTTCTGCAAATTGATCTCTCAAGTCTTGGGTTAAATCATCTCCATTTCAGGGGTGGCAAGTGGTCGGTGTTTGGTATGCAGAATGACAGCACTATTTCTTCAGAACGTCAGGGTGAAATAATTGCTCTGAAGGTTTCTGCACTCTGAAACTGAAAGTTGCTAAAATAGGTTGCAAACATTACCTTTGAGGAAGCAAAAGTGACTTCCGAAGTATATTTTAGTGATGCTTTGGGTTTGCTTTTTAAATATACAACAAGTGTGAATAGTTAACTGTTTTTGTAATCTTTCTTATGCAGCACATGCTACTCATGACCAGCTGGAAAGCAGAGCACGCAGCATAGAAGAAATCTGTCCAGAACTGTAACTGCTTGTCAGAGACACGAACATAAACACTGCTTCATGACTTTTGCAAATAAGGCTCTTAAATATTAAGAAGCATATCAGTTACAATGTTGTGTTGCCAAGGTTGTTAATTTTAGACTTGTCCATTAGGCAGGAAAAAACTGTCTAATTGATTTATTCCTGTGCCTAGTATTTCATGGAGAATACTGCTTCATAATCTGTTCGACCGGAATGGCGTTCCCTGTATGTATAATGCTGATTATCTTGCATCATGTACTGTTACTCTTCATGCTTTGAAACACAGACAGTATCTGTTTTTTCACTATTTATTTGACAGTGCTCTAGGTGTGGTATCTCTTATGGAAGAGTTTGGGATTCAAGAGCTTAACGGTACAGCATATATCAAATTGGCACGCAAGCTATTTATCAGGTTTGTTAAGCAATTGAGAAAGGGATGCAAGTTTTATGTTTTTTTTTTTTTATAAAATATTGACCTCTTAAACTAAACTTCAGTGTATTGTTACTCGTATTTTCCTAGACTCTAGAAGAAGAGTTGTGTAATTTTTCAGAGCAGTGTTTGGAATCGGTTATTTGCTGTTGACTGTGAGGCAGTACTAACATCTGGTGGAGGGAGTGTTTTACACTGGAAATGTGCTAACTTGAACTTTGAAATTAACTGTCACTTTCTCTTCCACTGGATGTTTTCTTTTCTTAAAACCACACCAACTGTTATTCTTTGGACTCGCTTCACGCTTTTAGTCTTTTCCAGTTGCATGGAGAGTGCCTGTGCTGCTAGCACCTGAAAAGGAACAGCCATGGAGGGAAATCCACATCAGGACCGAAGATGGGCTGTGTTTAGACTCTGTCCTCTATATAAGGATAACTGCTGATGATCTCACTTGGGGTTTGTAACCTGAATACTGAAAACCACTGGTCTACATCTTTCTGCATCCAGTGAGACGTAGAGCAGCTGCTTTTGTACAGTGAAGGGTGTTTGAAAGGATACAGAAGGGAAACTGCCTAATTCAAATACTTGTTTACAGTGCAGTCGTAGAGCCCTTGCAAAGAGTGGCTCCGAACCTCCACACTGCTGTAAACAGCGACGGAATTTGACTGGTGAATGTTCTAGTACTCAGAATAGTTCCTGGGCTTTATTACACGAAGTACACACTTAAGCTTAAGCTTGGTTATGAAATACAGTGTATATCTTAATTTTAGTCTGAATTTGATATGTTGCAAAAATCCATATAATTAAATATGGATCTATTTTAAAATGTTTTTGTCCACTGTATATGTGACGTTTGAATAAAGGAATGAAAGTTATTTTACAGATACCCACGTTCTCACGTGTGAGCTTTCTGGAAACCCCAGACTGAGTGTGAATAAAGCAGTGAGCGCTGCCTCGTGACCCTGATACAGGAACGATGAGAACGGATGTATCGCCGACATACGGCGCCGTGCCGAGTGGTTGCTGCAGCGTGCCTTTCCCAAGGCTTTCCTCTTAGCAGGTGACAGTTGCCAGCTGTGGGATGTTCAGGCTCCTCGGGGCGGCCGCTGCCTTCCCGCCGGCTGCTGTGAGTGACAGGCGGCTCAGCCTATGGCAGCGCGGCGGCCGTCCCTTCCTACTCGTGAGAGCTGCCATTGGCCTTTCGAGTCGTCGCGGCAACGAGGCGTGCCAAGTGCTGCAGGCCGTTCTCCCATTGGCTTACCTGGCCGTCACTTCTGAAGCCCGATGCGGAAGCGATCCCAGCGGCACGGCAGTGGTTGTCGCCCTCCTCCAGCACAGCGGTCATTGGCCGCTCTCGCTGCTCTGCCCTCCTCTTCCGCTCTGCGATTGGCCGAGCCGCTCCCGTTCCTGTGGGTCGCCTCTCTCCCGCCGTACGCCGATGCGGCGAATCCCCGCCCACCTCCGGCTGCGATTGGCCGCTCCCGGTGACGGCTGCCTCCTCTCGGCTGTCCGGGCCGGCAGTTCCGGCTGGGAGCGGGAGGCGGGCCGAGGGACTCTCGTTGAGGCGTCCCCGCTGCGGCCGCCGGGCCCCCGCGCGCCGCCATGAGTGCCGCCGGCACCGCCCCCTCGTAGCCCCGCCCCGTCCCGCCCCGCCCGGCCGCCGGCTTCGGCGCGGCCTCGCCCCGCACTCCGCAGCGCAGCCCTGCCGCCGGGCAGCATGAAGGTGACCGTGGACTTCGAGGAGTGCTTGAAGGACTCGCCGCGCTTCAGGTGTGCGGGGCCGGGGGGCGAGCGGGGGGAGACGCGGCGGGGCGGGAGGCGGCCGTGTGGAGCGGGGTGCGGCTCCCGCCGGGCGGCTCCGGATCCTCGGCCGCGCCCGGCCCCGCTGCCTCTGCCCGCAGCAGCAGCAGCAGCAGCCCGACCCGTGCCGGCGGCTCCGCTGACCCGAACCGCCGTCGGGCCCGGGCGTGCGCTCCCCTGTTGTCTCCTCTCGTTTGGCCGCTGTTCTGTAACGGCAGTGCGCTCCGTGCTGCCGATGTTTCCTGTTCAGGTCTGTCCCATCTGGTGGCGATGCGATCGCAGAGCGACTTGATTGAATCATGGAAGTGTTTGATTGGCCGTAATACTGTTTGGTTACTGATAGCTGTTAGGTATAGAACGTGCTTAAGAAAGCAGGAAATTAAGATTATGATTTGTGAGCAGAAGCGTGCTGTCTCTTCAAGTTATCTTGGTTTCTCATCATATTTACCCCTCAATTCTCCTTTTCTCCGCTCTCGGTCTTTTTCCTTCAAGGAGAGAAACAGTGGGAAGCCTCTTCTATCAGTCTAGTGCTCTTTTGGAGAGCCTCAAATGCTGCTGCCTCTGGAGAAACTGAGGACAACCTTATGATGAAATTGTTTGATGCCACCAAAATGTTCTTCCAACCTTTGAGCCGCGTGCTTAAAACTATGAAGCAGCAATTCTGCAGTATTTCACGTGGGGAAGAATGCTTGTATCTTTCATTATTAATTAGCATTTACTGTTATAACTTTGGTCGTTCTCAGTGTTCCTGTGGCTCACCTAACGAGTGCTCAGAAACCTTTCCTGCACATTGGCTGTGGAGGTTGCAGTGAGTTCGGTGTGTGCGCTGACAAAGGAAAGGCCAGCAGGAGCCTTAGTGCTGCTGCGGGGAGCAGCGTCCCCACGCTGTGCTCCTCATAGCAAAGCAGAGCTGCGGCTGTCTCCTGGCCCTGCTGAACAGGTGGGTGCAGTCCCACTCCTTGACACCGCTGCACCTGTTGGAGCGGTTAAATGAACCTGTCAGGAGGCGAGCAGGGCACGGAGCTGTCACAGCATACTGACATCTGTAGCTGTGGAGACAACTGGAAGGAAGTGGGTGAATCAGAGTTCGTGAGTCAACAAATCCCTCTTTTGGCAGGGCACAACTTGAGTCTCTTAAATCGTGCCACAACCTACAGCTGGGGATGTCCAGCTTCCTTGCTTAGATAAGCTTCTCACAAATATCGTGCTGCTCTCTCATTGGCTTTGACTTATTAATTGGGAATGCTGTAGCTGCTTGAATCAAAGGGAGGTCGGTTTGTTTACATAAAGTGCATATAAAATAACACAAGTTGTGGCTGATGCAATGATGGATAATGGGTGTGAGGATTCACATTGGATGCATGGTGTATTGTGTCTTGGGAAGGCGTGTTTTTTTTCCCAGTGGATAAAGGAATCTGTGAGTGATAAAACCCAAAGCAAGGACAGCTTGTTGCTGTTTGTGAGCTGAGTCATACCAAATCCGTTTGTGTTTGGGAGCTTGAGGTTGAGAAACTGATTTCTGACAGGACAGTAGAAAAGGCTGTGAGTCGAAGCTCATCTTTGCAAACTGGCAATCGTATTTGTTTTGCGCTTTTTTCCTTTTTTCTTTTACTTTTAAATGCACTCTTCCTTTGAAGCTCTGAAAATAATCTCACAGAAGTCATGTGCTTTTCCTCCACGACTCCCTTTCTCAAAGTGTGGACAAACCACCGAGTTAGCAAGGAAATGTGCTTGCAGTTCTCCCGCAGCATGGTGGTGACTTCCCATCAGATGAAGAAGTTGCTGAGGGAAGGGCCGTGCAGCAGCCTTTGGGCAGCAAGATCTCAGCTGTGCTGACAAGTTCCTGGTGTATAAGCAGGAATTCCTGGAGTGCTTTTTAGTACGCAAATAGTGTTGTGAAATAATACGCTCTCCTTATCATCAAACAATGAGAATTTCAGAGTTTATTGGAACAGTTTTTCGAGCTCTTGCTACTACAATTATCAGATCTCTTGATAAATGAAGCATGCAGCCACTTGGATTGCTTTGAACGTGAATGTCTAGAAAGGACAAGTAGGGTTGGGTGACGTGGGAATGGATCTGCTGTGGCAGTTAACAGTCCTGATAAATAATAGAAACAGCTCAGTTCTATTCCTTGTGATGCATGCAATTGTTAGAACTTGTTAAAAGAAACCAAAGCTTTTGTCTATTCCAGTCTCTACAATACATCAGGGAAGTGTTCGAAGTTTTGAGATGATTTTCAGTCCTTATCTGTTACTCTGTGAGTGTTACTGAATTTTAAGGTTCTGTTTTTGTTTTTCTTTTGGTGAGCGCGTGCTCTTAGGGGAAAGTTGAGTTCCTGAGACCCAGCTGCAGAACAGATGATGGAAACAGGAGGTAGATGAAAGGATGTAAATGAAACTGTTGCCAATTCTCATTCTTAGTGAAAATACGTGATGGGCAGTTTGAAGAGAAGGGGTGGCTATGGCATATCCTCTTCAATGGGCCCTGGGTGAGATGTGACTGAAGCTGTGGGTGAGGGTGGTTCTGCCAGGCTGGGCCTCTCTGTGAGAGCAGCACAGAGTGGGGAGGTGCTGGGGAGGTCAGATTGCTCCTGCTGCAGAAATAAAGATCTGCTTTCACCTCCAGCAGCATCTGATGCAACTCATTTGCCTTTAGATAAGATTGAGTCCCTTGTCTCACATGCAGGGCAGGAAGAATGGGGTGTGTAGATGACAAGATTGCTTTCCTTCTCTAGGATGAAGGGTGTAATTCACTTCAGTTTGTTTTTGGTGTATCTTATGTTTATAAATGTGTCACATTCGAATGTGAATGAGCTCTTTTAAAACCATTGATGTTTGTTGTTGCTGTAAATCTGCCCCACCAGCTTTGTTTTCAGGTGTTGCATTTGATCACTTCTGCCACTAGATCAATGTGCCTTTTAGGTATGAGCTTGCAATGCTCAAAAGGCAATAGCTTGAAAGAAATAATCTCTAAATTCAGTAGCTTTTGCATGAAGTTATCACTTAACTCTTACTGGGAGACCAGCTCACTGCACATCCTGCTTCGAGAGGCTGATTTAGGATGGGTTTCTGAATAGGTCACTTGTGCCACGTACAGATTACTACGTTTAGGATCATTTTTCTCTGCTTCTTACTGTATAACCCAAGTTTAGTCAACAAGCATCTGTTGCCCACGTGACGGAAGTGCTCTGTCACATGGCGGTGTGGAGCAGAGCAGAGTGCCTTGCTGAGCTCAACTCACGTCTGCCTGCCACAGAGCATAGCCTGCCTCTCATCAGGGCTGCTGTGCAGGGCACGTTGCCTCCAGACCCTGAGCGTGGTGGTGTCCAGCTCCCCCATCATGGGAGGGAAGGGCTGAGCAGATTCACAACCCATCTAGCTGTTCCAAGAGCAATTTTGAAAGAAATTCTCTCTCTGAGCTCTCTGCTCTCACTGTTAGGACTGGAAAGCATGTTGTGACTGACTTGGCAGGGCAGTCTGGAAAATATTGCAGAATAAGGAAGTAAGAAAGATGCGGTAACTCAAAATAGAAAACTTTGTAAATATAAGGCAGGTAATAGCAAACTCATGCAGTTGTTTTTGTGATTGTAATACCCGGTGAATGGCAGCAGCCCAGCAGAATGGTGCTATTCACAGCCTGTTGGAGTTACTTAGCAGTGCCTCCAGCTGCTCATCCTTTGCTTGTGTGAGTTCTACTCTCAGCTACCTGCCAGCCATCTGTGTTTATTTCAGGTAGGACTGCATCTTTCAGATGTGCACAAAGAAAATAACTGATATTAAAAATGTACACTGGAATAGGGAATCCAGCAAATAGCATTTTCATCCGGGGCAACAAATTCTCATCAGACCAGCTTTTCAAATACGTTTCTTCTATATCTCTCACACTGAAATCATTACTGCTAAGTTGTTGCAGTCCTTCCTAATGGAGACTGAAGAAATCTGTGTCTGGAAGTCAGGCTGCAGGGGTCAGGTAGGACATCTCAATTGTTCTGTTTTGTTGTTGTTTGGTGGTTTATTTTTAAAGTGCCCATTATAATTATGTATTACAAATGTTAGTTTTGCTGTGGTAATTGCAATTCTGTTT